CCGAGGCGCATCCTTTCTGTATTGTTGACCAAGAATATTCTTTCGATCAAGATGTTGCTTGCCACCAAGAGATGCGAACTACAAATAGATGATTGCAGGCTGAGTATCTTAATGGAAGCAGTTTGAGATCGCTATACAAAATCAGAAGGCTGTCTATTGCCACACTTTATGTTTGTGCAATCAATCTAACTGGGACGAAGAAGAGGAAGTATGAGAGTCCTCTTCCGACTATTTCTTGTCGTCGAAGTTGATCCTCTCTTGAAAGTGACTGACGTACAATGCTGCTTGAGCTCACATTTAGGAATTAGAACAGGGTCATTTCATAATCAGAGAAAAACGCACTTTATATTGTCTGGGCTACGATAGTTTTATAGCTATGCGCACTTTTGATTGAAGTTACGTTTTTTTGGCTATATGCGCTGAAAACTGAGTTAGTAATAAAAACAATGAAAGAGCTATCCTAAACAATCAGAAGTGATGTTTCTGCTCCAAGGAAAACCGCGTCTACACCCGACAGATGCGAGACCGAAGCGGATGGTTAAAAGTGGACCAATCAAGTAACTGATTGACATCAGAGAATTATCGTATGCACACAGTTAACTTACCTCTCCATATTCCGTAGGGTGCGTCGATCAGCACACCACCCATGTCGAATATAACTGCTTTGATGGACATCTCTAAAATCGCCAAAATAAGCAGAAAACAAAATAAAAAGTAAGGCTAAACGGAGCATTGTTCTCAAATATGTATACGAAAATAGGGCTTGCTCAAAGAAGTCATTCTTTTAGCGCGAACATCTGCCATAAAAATTGCCTAATTATTTCTTACGCTAGCAATAAGCAATACTAATAAGGCGAACATTCATAGAATGGATACAAATTACATTTAAGAGAAAAAGGGCTCTTTTAAATCTACAAGGATCTTTCTAATTAGAGAATAAATTACTCTATCGTGTAGTACTAACATTTGGTGAAGCATCGTAAACTAAACCACAAAAAAAATTTTTACATTTTTTTGTTCAAGTTATGAGAATTAGGAGCGTGTCCCATTGTTTTGTCCCAAATTACATAAATTATGCGACTTATGGAGCTTGTCCCATCGCTTTTCCCGAATTACAACCCTTCGAATAATACCGCTCAATATAAGTGGAAGGACCACGAACTTAACAGAAAATTTATATTTATTGGAAAACAAAATTGTTTCTCAACTCTTCTGCTGCGAAAATAATATACCACTGTGAGATCGTAAACATCATTTCACTTCCATGCAAAGGTAAGATTTATGAAATTCGAAAGAAGAAGACTGCAAACCGGCTTGCACAATCACATTTGTGTCTGAGCACACTAAATTATTTCACCAATATGCGTACATTTGCAGCTTACAGAATTTAATTTCGTGATTTTTTTTTCGCTTATCATCGGATATCATGCTTACCTATTACCGGAATAATCGACAGCAGTATCACCTTGATACACATATTTAGCACTATTCTACTGGTCTATATTGGTATATGCACATTACTAAAGAAAGGGACAACTCCATATCAGAAATCTTCCGACTCTTTATGTAAGCTATGCAATTCATTCCGCAGGTCTTTCCATTAAACATGGATACGACACAGTAGAAAGCAAGTGGACAGTCCGCTAAAACAAGATATGCAACATTTGCCACTTTTTGAGAAAAAATATGATAATAATGAACGTATTTTAAGCATGTTTAATTATTCGGAAGAAAATTACCGCTTTTTTCAAGACAAATTCTTAAAGCCAACGTTCCACCTCTTTCAAATCAAAGGAATTTGCTCCTAGTAAATTACAAATGAATATGTTAGATACCCAAATGGTTGATGCTTAGCTGCACAAGTTGACCAGAGAGCGATTATGCAGAAATTGCATAAGATATACATTATCCCCAAATGCGAATTACTTTTATGAATCTAGCTTTATCCTAGCTGCCACGGACGATAGGGTTGTTTTGGAGATCCATATTTTTATAGCAATTAGTGGATGAAATATTCCCTGTTTGCAATTTCCTCTCACGCTGAATTATTTAGGTATATTTAAAAATCTTGTTTCGACATTATGTTTCGCTCTATAGGTCCACTTACAAAATGATTATCTGAAAGCATTCACTTGTTGTCGTCTGCTCTTTTTCGATTATTGGTAGGCCTCCACAGCTCTTCAGCACAATC